GAGGAGGAGGAGGAGGAGGAGGGGGAGGGGGAGGAGGAGGAGGAGGAGGAGGAGGAGGAGGAGGGAGGAGGAGGAGGAGAAGGAAGAAGAAGAAGAAGCAGACGACGAAGACGACGAATACTAATAAGAATACGAAGACGAAGAAGACGAAGACGACGAATACTAATGATACTAAGAATAATAATAATAATAATAATAATACGACGAATAAGAATAATAAGGAAGAGGATGAGGAGGAGGATATTCAGAAGAGGCAAAAGCATAACAAGACGAATACTAAGAAGAATACGAATAATACTAAGACGACGAAGACGAAACAGAAAAATAATAATAATACGAATAAAGGGAATACGACGAAGAAAACGAATAATACTATGATTCGAAACGAAGAAGACGAAGAAACATACGAATGAGAATAATACGAAGACGCAGACGACGAAGACGAATACGAATGATAATAAGCATACGAAGAAGCCGGAGAAGAAGCAGAAGAAGACGACGAATACGAAGATGACGACGACGAATAATAATACTAATAATAAGAATAATAATACGACGAAGAAGGAGAAGCCGAAGAAGACGAATAAGGAGAAGAAGGCGAATATGAAGAATAAGGATAATAATGAGAACACTGAGGATAAGGAGGAGGAGGAGAAGAACAAACAGAATACGAAGAACCATACTCAGAATAAGCAGAATAAGAAAACGAAGAATAAGAAGACGAACACGATTAATACTACGAATAATAATAGTAAGACGAATAAGAAGAATACGCATAAGAAGCATACCACTAAGACGAATACGAAGGATCAGTATAATAATAAGCAGAAGGCGCGGAGTAATAATAAGCAGAGTAATGACAATAATAATATTAATAATACGATTACGAATAATATTACTAACACGAAAAAGAATATTACTAGTCATAATAATAATACGAATGCTGATAATACGACTACGACGAATAAGACTAAGAAGGAGAAGACGACTACTAATAATACCAATACGAACAATAATAAGAAGAAGAAGACGAATACGACGAATTATGATAATAATAATAAGAATAAGAAGAAGAATAATGCGAATAAGAAGGAGAAGACAAATACAACTAATGATCCTATTAAGAAGAAGAAGCAGAGAAGGCGGAGGAGGAGGAGGAGGAGGAGGCGGAGGCAGAGGAGGAGGACCGTTTTGACCATTTGACTAAGCACGGTCGTGCGGGGAAGAAGGAGAGGGAGTGGAAGGCAGGACCCCGTACGGAGGTGCTGTGGTGCAGGCGGAACCCCGCCTCACCGCCACACCCCCGCACCGCCACTGGCCAGTTTGCCCTCCGCAGGAGGACCACCTACCCAGCAGCGGCGGACGGTCCACGGTCCCCTCCCTGGGGCCCAGCGGCCCTCTCGTACGCTCTCGCCAGGCTTCCGAGGTCTCGCGCCTCGAGGGCGGCCTGCAGGGCCCTCGGCACCCCTTCTCTACGGGGGTACTCGTCCTCCTCGATGCGGCTCATGTTCTCTCGGCCTTTCCTGGACATGCCCTCACATTTGGCCGCCGAGTGGCGACCATCCACCGTAGCATGCTTGCCACAGGTGGTGCAGAAACTCATGAGGGACAGCTCCCACATCTGGACAGTGTGGGAGGGGTGCACTTCCCGCCCCGCCGCCAACCCACCGCCTCCCGCCCCCACCGAACAGACAGGGAGGCCACGGCATTGGGTCTTGGCGGCCTCGATGAGGCGAGAAACAGACACGACAATATTGCTCTCGCTGCCCCTCCACGCGCCTTCGGTCAGCTCGAAACAATGGCTGGAGGCCTGCAGCGCGAGCCGCTCTCCGTTGGACCGAGGCCCGAACCCCACTCCATGGGACGACCTCTGACCCCAGGGCCAGTACGCGCCTCGCGCGCGCTCGAACCAGGTTGCGGATCGCATCCCAGTGGTCTGTCTGAGGCTCGCCCCCTTCCAGCGACGCCGCCCGCCCTCTCCCCGCCGCAGCCCCCGCCTCTTCATCAGCCAGGGCGCTGCCCTGAATTAGGTAGGGATAATTCGGTTCGCTAGGAGAGGTGGCTTCGTCCATGTGAGAGGGAATCCAGTTGAAGTTCACCTTTGTCGACCGAGACTGGAAGGCCACCCGAATTCGAGACCACAAATCCTGGTTGGCTCCGTTTTTCTGGAACTGCCGGCCCTGCCCCCGAGCTCTCAGGAGGGGCCCGTGGTCAGCCACGAACAGACAACGCATAGGGGACATGTTCTGACGCGATGGCAAACGCGAGCAGCTCAGAACGAGGGACCGTTTGCCGCTGGCCCCCGACTGGGGTCGATAACCCCTCACGCCAACCTCCAGCCCCTTTGGCCGTTTGGTTACATGGCGATCACCGCGGTGCCACACCTACGCCTACGTGGGTCCGCACTGTGGACCCCCCCGATCCGTCTCCGAAAACCACTACACACCCGAACGTGGTGTGCGGCTCAACCTCGGCAATCGGGAGCGGCCCCAAGGGCCGAATATTTTCTGCAGGAAAATAAGAGAGATGGGTGTAGCTCTTAGGCGGCACGCCTCTAAGCCACAAAACTGGACAATTTTCCCACTGCGCATGAGCCTCCTGCCTAATACACTCGCTCTTCTCGAATTCTTCAAAACCTACATTGCACGGACACTCCCAAACTCGGTGGAAGAGAGTCCTTGTGCCCTGGTGGCACCTTGGGCACAACGTGTCAACCTCGTATCCTAGAGCCGTCTGCCTTTCTCGAGTGAACTGTCTGCCCGAGACTGCAGCACTCTGGAGCCCTACCAGATCGTACGCTTCCTCAGCGAGAAACTTGCGAATTTCGCGACCAGCCAAGAGCACATCCCCGCCCCCAAGCTACAGCCCCTCACCCCCATAATGAGAAGCAGCCTGGGTCCAAAACAGGGACGACAAGTCCTGGACCAGGTCACTGAGTAGCTCGGTGACATCGGCGTCCCCTTGCTCGAATCCCTCATCGCTCGCACAAGGCAGCTTCCAAACCTCGCTCCCACTCGCAGTCGGGCGGCGCCAAGAGTCTGGGGCAAACGGGATCCACCCAGCCTCATAGAGCGACGCGATCACCGCGCTGACGGGGCCTCGCACTCGACACCATCGCGATTTAGCAGGCCAGAGACGAGGGGTCAGATGCTTCCACGCCGCTCGGATACGGTTGTGGAGTTCTGGCGAAGATTTCCAAACTAAACAAAACTCGAGGACCAACTGGTGCCGCAACTCGAGCCCTGGATCTTTGTCCCCCAAGTGCATGGCGAGCACGGTAGTCAGACAACGCCCAGACCCCGTTCCAGCGATAGCCTGGCCAGCCCGACGCCTAAGGGATTGAATCTGGCTCGGGCTTACGCCATGCACCTGGTGCCCGTACACAGCTTGGGGGAGGGCACTTGTGGTCCAAAGGGACTGCGAAATCTTTGACAGTTTGGCTTAGCGCCTCAGCTTCCCGATGCGACGGAATCTCTTCGTAGGATGAGGAGGAGGAGGAGGACGAGGAGGAGGAGGAGGAGGAGGAGGAGGAGGAGGGGGAGGGGGAGGAGGAGGAGCGGAGGGCTCGGGTGGAAGCCGGCCCGCTCCCCCCATCCAGCGACCATCCCCTCCCCTTCACCAGGCGCCTGACCCTGAGATCCGCCGTGGCGAAAAGCAAGAGCGTCGCGACATAATCATAAGACCGCAGCCTCATACCCGATCTTCCTGCTGCGTGTCTCAGGCTGGATCGAGCTGTGATGCCGTGATTCGGGCGGGCGGTAGCGGGGGGTGGCCCACAGGGCGGGGGGGGAAAAGCTCCGAAAGGGCCCCCCTTTGAGGCCCCTTTTGGGCCCCTGCTGGCTCCAAGGGACCCTGAAGGGCCCCTGCAGGGCCCTGTTCCTCACCCCTGAGCCACCCCCCATCACCGCCCGCCCGAGTGACGCCCCCGGAGCCCGAACCGGGGCCCGCATCCCCGGGCGAGCACGCCGGGCTCGCTGAGAGGATCTCTCTGGGGGCGGCGCGGCCACAGATCGCGGCAGGCCCCTCGCGGTGGTGTGGTGCCGGGGCCCGAATCCGGGGTCGTCGGCGTCGTCGTCGTCGTCGTCGTCGTCGTCGTCGTCGTCGTCGTCGTCGTCGTCCGGGCGTGGTGGGAAAGCAGCGCCTGGATCTCAGGGGGGCGGCGCGGCCACAAGACAGCGGCGGGCCCCTCGCGGTGGTGCGGTGCCGGCTTCCTCTCGTCGTCGTCGTCGTCCCCCCCTCGCCCGCCCGCCCGCTGCGAGGCGTGCCGCCGCCCGGAGGGCTGCCAGCGCCGGGAGGCTTCCTCCTCGCCTGCCCCCATCGCCGCGCCGCCGCTCGCCCCCAGCGCGTGCTCCGTGTCTTCCAGTCGGGCGTGTCCCCCTCGACAGGAGGGAGCTCCGAGAACGGTGGAACAAAGAGCCTGGCGCGACGCTTGTTCGTGCTCTTCTGATCCTCGGTGATCTCTTTTGGGCTGCAGGGCTGCAGCGACAGCAAATGAAGTTGGTTTCTCCCGGCCCCTTCTCCTTGGCCCGAAGGAGTGAAAACATCAGGAATTCGTCGGAAGTTGGAACGTATCTATAAGCAGTGGCGTGCTGTTGTTCAATCCCAGGGCTTTCTGCGGGTTGGCGACGACGTCGGGGCGGTGTGGTGTGCATTTGTTTCCCCGTGTTCCCAAGGAGACAATAAAACAACGTACACACCAGGATGCCGTATAACACGGGGATCCGCTTTCTTGTGCGTGTTTCAGTGCTGGGTTGGAACATGCGTCGGTGTAAAGAGTTCGGCTCCTTCATCTGTACTTTCGAGATTCTGAGCGGAATTCTTGGATCTGCGCTTGGCCCCCCCCTGGCAGCGCATCCTGCGCCGCCCCTGGCGCGCTGTTCGCGCCAGGGAGGTGGGGCCAGCGCCGATCCAAGAAATCCGCGCGGCCCCCCGAAAAGCCATGATGATGCAGCGTTTGTTCCTCTGTCTTCCTGTCTCTCCCCAGCAGTAAATCGGTGGCG